AGTGCTCAATGTAAATTTACAGAGCATTAATATTATAAATTAATAATATAAATTAATATTATAAATTAACTGATTTTTAAATATGTTTTTCGCTACACAGTTCTAACCATGTTTCAAAAATTTGAAACATGGTTAGAACCCTGTACAACGAAAAAAATATTTAAATAAGTAAAATAATATAATATATATATATATATATATATATATATATATATATATATATTGATAATATTAGTGGTCAATATATATATATAAAATTTCAAGAGGATAGAATCCAGGTAGTGCTCAATGTTCAGGACATTGCAAGAATATAATATAAAGGCTCAAATAAATCTTAATCACGCTCCAATTCATCAGACCTATGGATTGGATAATGATTACGATTTCAATGTAATAAATTATAACAATGGAATATTAGTGCTTGAGCCTTTTATATTATATTATATATATATATATATATATATATATATATATATATATATGATAAAACTATAAAATTTGTCACTGAGCTGATTGATGTTATATTCAGTACCTCAACTCCGGAGTTTCGTAAACGAATCTTTGTATAATTGTTCGGCCTACTCGTCGGGAGATATCATGAAATGTCTGCCAATTTTCTTGTTTTCATACTCTTATATTAAGTTAAAAAATAATTTATGCACTTTTTTTTTCTTTGTATGTTTGTGTGTGTGCGCATACACACGAACATTCGTAGGCACACACACACGCACACATACAAAGAAGAAAAATCAAAATATACGCCTGTACGTGTGCGCATGTGCACATGTGTTGGATGCCGTGGTTATTCCTTTTCATAATTTACTTGTTTCTTTATATTCGCTAAATATTCCTTTTCGTTATGTTTCGGCTGTGAGAGTCCAAAATAATGCAGTGAAATTATTGCCGGGGTCAGAGTTAACTTAAAATTAGGTTAATGTATCAGAAAATTCTGGGGTTTTCTAAAGTTTTTTTTTTTTTTTTTTTTAGTATTCTGTTTTTTATTTCTCGTTTAAATAAATTGTTGTATTGGAAAATCATAGGGGCACCCCGTGGCGGTGTAATGGTTAACAAGCTTGTCTCGCTAGAACAATTACGACTGAGTAGTGAGTTCGATCCTCACTGGGTGCCGCATACTTTCGGCATTCTGCCACATCTAAGCTACGCTTGGAAAATCTCTATTTCTTATTAGTTATTTCTGCACTCAAATACGTTTATAGTAATAGGCTAGCTGATATAGATTTATAAAAGTCCCAACGAAAAAAAAAAGTGCTTTCATTAAACTCAAACCTTTCCCCGTCAGTCCGGTATATTTGGCTAAAAGCGGTAGACTGTGCCCGGAAAAAGAATTGATACCGGTGTGATTCCTGTCGAGGGCACAGTTTTTCTTTTGTAGGACTTCTCAGTCTATGCTGGTTATTATTATTATTATTATTATTATTATTTTCTTTGATTTCTGGCGTTTACACATTTCTTTCCGGGTCCCGCCCAGGGATCTAAGGTTAGAAATCGCGCATGATACTTTTCACTGACAAACAAAAAAAAAAAAAATTACATAGATAAAGCCCTTCGTAAAGTGTGGGCTGTACTTCTCAGAACAATTTTTTGTATCTCCTTGAGGCATGGACTTCCAGGAATCCCTTTAATTAGTCTACTGCAATCTTTTCCAACCAGTCCTAGGGCTCCAACTACAACAGGGATTGTTGATGTTCCCATATGCCACATTTTCGAGATTTCTATTTCAAGGTCCTTGTACTTTGACAACTTTTTGAATATCTTCAAAGATACATTGCAATCAGCAGGGACTGCCATATCAATAAGGAGGCACCGTTTTTGTTTGTGGTCTTTAATAACAATATCTGGCCGGTTGGCCTTGATTGTTCTGTCAGTGTGTATTGTGTAATCCAATAGAATTGTAACAGGTCCTATCTCCGTAACCGGGTCTGGGTGGTGTTCATACCAGTTTCTTTCAGTTTTCTTCCCGTAGAAGTTGCAGATTTTCCACTGCAGATATTGGCCCACTCTGTCATGTCGGGTTTTATATTCAGTGGGTGCCAACACCGTACAACATGATACAAGATACAAGATGATCAATGGATATTTATCACAGAATCTGCATTTTGGACTGACACAATATTTTAGTATATGTGCTTGATAATTCCTATTTAGCAAGCATTGGTCCTGTGCAGCAAGGATAAAACCTTCAGTTTCCGCTTTCAACCCTGCACTACGTAGCCACTGATGGGTACGGGTTTTGTCTACGTCAGCTTGTTTGGTACGGGAAGAGTATTGGCCATGAAGCGGTTTATCTTGCCATCGCTTCTGTAACTGGTCGGTTGCATTCGTCTTTGCTGTCTTTTTTAGGTATTATTATTATTATTATTTTCACTGTTTAAGAAAAAAATAGGGATAGTAACTCAAATACTGGAGACACTTTGGTGTCATGGATTGCGGCTCGGATTGAAGAATAGGAGAGCCGAGTTCGAATTCCAATCGAATCCATTACATTCACTTACGTGCGAAACTTTGAAAAGGTATGAATCTTCTTCTTCTCCCCCAGCTATGGTTAAATAGCAGGACAGATCGGATTCTCTAGTCTTGAGTGGTAGCTGGTCTACCGCAGAAAGAAATGGCAACCTACTGCGGGAAAAATCTGCCTCGTCACTCATGTATCTTTCGATACATGATCGCCTAAGCCTAAATTATGTAGAAATTGTCCGAATGTACTCTATGTCCGAGCACTTTCGGCTGTACTGTTAGCCATTGTCAAGGATGATTTTATTTTTACTTGTAACTGAATGTTATATATATATATATATATATATATATATATATATATATATATATATATATATATATATATATAGAAATTTAAAGAAAGGGCAACCTACTGCGGAAAAAAATCTGCCTCATCAGTCATATATCGAAAGATCCATGATCACCTATACGTGTATCACGTATAGCACATAACTGACTGATTCCTTGTATATATGCCAAGTTCGAATTCTAGTTAAATCCATTACATTCACTTACATGCTAATACCCTTGGGAAAGGTATGAACCCTCTTCTTCTACTCTCAGCCACGGCTAAATAACAGGACAGACTGGGTTCTATAGCTTTGGATGGTAACTGGTCTACCACAGAAAGAAATGGCAACCTACTGCGGCGAAAAATCTGCTTCGTCAGTCATGTATCGAAAGATACATGATCGCCTAAGCGTCTATCACGTATAGCACATAACTGACTGATTCCTTGTATATATGCCGAGTTCGAATTCCAGTCGAATCCATTACATTCACTTACGTAACTGACTGGACTGAAATACAAGTAAATTTGTTTTAAAATAAATTTTATTTTAGTTATAATCTTTGATTCCTTACATGTGATGAGACATTGGGATGAACAGATTTACAAAGAATAACTCGATCGAATGAATGAAAAACTCGAATAAGCATTGTACACTTCAAACTTAACGCTTCATTTTATTTCAACGGAAACTACAACTGATAAAGGGAGCATAATAATACCCCCTCGTAGTGCACGTTTTCAACAACAAAATAATCTCGATCAGCATAGTCACTGTCATTTGCTTGTAAGGGTAGCTTAACTGTTATCAGCACACAGTGTGATATCAACACAACGTGTTTAGAGACTGACGAAGACAGTTTCGTTCACTTCTTATTAATGCACTTGGAATAGGCGTGAATCCATCTTCCTCTATCTATGGGTTAAATAGTAGAGCAAACTAGGATTTCTTGCCTTGGGTTTCAGCCTGTTTTCTAGGAGAAGGCAAATTTCTAATTAAACTCCTTGCTAAGAGCAGACTAGTAACAACAGAATAATGAGGCAACCAGTATAGTAGAAGGAAAATTCTGAATTCAAACCCATTCTGTAAAGAGGTGATCTCTATTGAATGAGTTCATTTAATACCCCAAATAACCCTGATGGATTACAGGACTATGTATTTTCAAACAAGAGTCTATGCATGTCCAATCGGGACATGGCTTGTCATTTGCCAAAAATCACTGTTCACCGTCTTACTTTGTTCACATCTACTCTTTGATTTCCTTAAACGTTTAACCAACATCGGCCAATGTCACTGGGGGCAATTTTCCCCCCAAGGAAGAATGAAGTTATACAATTTCATTTCAGACGTAATTTTACCAGACTGGCACTCAGCTGTTATCAATAACAAGCCCTAAGAAGCCTAACAACTTCTATTTCCTTACCAACAAAATCCGCATCTGACGTCGCAGGCAAACATAGTTAAATAAGAGGAATTATTTTCGAAGCAACCCACTAAAGTAGAAAGTATTCATTTTGAAGCAAAACGACATAAGGTTTAACGACCCTGGAAAAAAAAGGGATTGGGGTGTCTAGTTCTGGCCACTTTTGTACTAATGCCCTGAGGAAAGGCAATAATCTGTCTTCTCTCTCTAATCGGTTTAAATGTCAGGATAAATTGGGTTCCTACGCATGTGTCAGACTAGGAGAAAATATCTCTGGAAAGGCAACAGAAACCACACATTGCCTTTCGCAAGAAGTAATAGCGATTCACAGATGAGAAGCAGAATGAATCTGGGGAGAGTTCTGATTGCCTACGTTTAGATGTGTCATGGTATTTTTAAAAAAAATTCAAGTGAGAAGAAATAGAAAGAAACAAAATAGGAAGAATGAATAAAGGAATAAAATAAAGAAAAAGTACATGTAAAAGAAAAATTTTTTAAAAAAAGAAGAAATATAGATAGGATTGTTTATAAAATTATTGAACAGAAGAATGAAAAAAAAAAAGAAGTCATCATATGTTAAGTAAGGCGGGAATAACAAGAAAAAAAAGCGGGAAAAGAAGAAACAAAAGACTACCAAGAAAAAAATGAACGCCTGGTTTTAAGAAAATGAAAGCGAAAGAAGGAAAATAACTGAAGTAATGAAGCAGTCCTCTCTTTCTTTCTTTCTTTCTTTCTTTGTTTTTTTCCCATCATTTTATTAATCTAGACGTGATCTATTCGGATAGACTGTAAAGTATGGCGCGTGGAGGCGCAATGCCCGAAGCTGCAGCCTCAATCAGTGCCCCGTGGAAAGCCAAGAAAAATATTGACATATTTCTTGGTGGCCTGAGGACAGAATTACGAAGCACGAAAGCAGAATCTCCGATTAACTCGCAGCTGTCACCAATGTATTTGCGATACGAAGGTGTCCGGAGAGATATCCCAACAGCTGGTCGCACAAGTTAGACCGAATGGAGATAGAGACTTGATCGAAGTGGTTTGGGTGTGGAAAATATTTCAGTGAAAGAACGAAGAAGAATAAAAAAAAAAAAAAACGAGGAAGAAGATAAATAGTAACAGGAAGAGAAAGTGTAAACAAACGACGTGTGGAAGAGGAGAAAAGAGGTGGGAAGGGGGTTAGGTGAAAGAGCATGAACGAGAGAGAGTGGGTATTCCAGAAAAAAAAGGGTGTAAGAAAAGGGAGAAATTTTGGATAAGGTATTTAGAGAAGAAAGAAGGAAAGAAACAAAATAACCGATATAGGTCTTGGAAGATAAAGTTCAGAAGAAAAAAAAAAGAGAAAGAGAAATAGAATTTAAAAAAAAAAAAAAGATGAGACGGAAGGAATTTGAAAGGTGTGTTAAAAAAGTTGGATGGAGAAATATGTCGAAGAATTAATGTAACGAGAGAAGAAAGAACGTAAAAGGAACAATTTAAAAAAAAAGAAAGAAAGAAAACAGTAGAAGAAAAAGAGAATTAAAAAAAAATAACAGAAGAAAGGAATTATAAAATATATATTAAAAAAGGGGGGAAGATATGTGACGAAAAATTACAAAAGATTTTGAAAAATATACGTAATAAAAAAAAAACGTGTGAAAGAATCAATGCGAGCATACGAGAGAGAAAGAACAAAAAACAAATGAATTAAAAAATAGAAGAAAAAAAAACACGAAAAATAAAGAAATGGAACTAAAAGGAATGAAAAACGAAGATCGTAGAAATGAAACAATGAATAAATGAACAAAAAGAAAAAAAAACGAAATAAATAAATGATATAAGAAGGAGAAGAACAAACGAGCCAAAGAATGAAAAACTGCCCTAAATATGAAGGAAAAAGAAGAAAAATGAAAGAAAAAAAAGTACATCTTTAAAAAGAAAGAAAAGAAAGAAAATTATGGATAGAACTAGTGAGTGAACGAAAAGAAGATCTCATGAATATCAGACATGAAGAATAGACGAAAGAAAAATATCAACTGAAAGAAAAAGAGAGAAGGAAAAAACGAAAGAAAAATATAATAAATGAGGTAAGAAATAAAAAATAAAAGGAAAAAATCACGATTGAATTGAATTCAAAAGGAAAGAAAGAAAATGACTGGGAAAAAAAATTATAATTTTTTCTTAAAAATATATTATAATATTTTTCGTAAACACCAAAATTCCCGTTTCAAAACAATTCAAATTCAATCATAAAAATTAAACTTCAAATACAAATTTTCGTTCCATGGCAGCCTCAGCTGAACGAAAAGGGTTGAAACACTAAAAGTAAAACCTATGAGTGAGTGTATATATATATATATATATATATATATATATATATATATATATATATATATAAGTGCTTCCTTATTGATATGGCAGTCACTGCTGACTGCAATGTATCTTTGAAGATATTCAAAAAGCTGTCAAAATACAAGGACCTTGAAATAGAAATCTAAAAAATGTGGCATATGGGAATATCAACTATCCCTGTTGTAGTTGGAGCCCTAGGATTGGTTGGGAAAAGATTCCAATAGACTCATTGAAGGGAATTCTGGAAGTCCATGCCTCAAAAGAGATACAAAAAATTGTTCTGAGAAGTACAGCCCACACCTTACGAAGGGCTTTATCTATGTAATTTTTTAATTTTTTTTTTTTTTTTTTTGTCAGTGGAAAGTGTCATGACGCCATTTCTAACCTTAGGTCCCTGGGCGGGACCCGGAAAGAAATGTGTAAACGCCGGAAATCGAAGAAAATAATAATAATAATAATAATAATAATAATAATAGTTGGAGCCCTAGGACTGGTTGGAAAAGATTCCAGAAGACTAACTGAAGGGATTCCTGGAAGTCCATGCTTCGAAGAGATACAAAAAATTGTTCTGACAAGTACAGCCCACACCTTACGAAGGGCTTTATCTATGTAATTTTTTTTTTTTTTTTTTTTGTCAGTGGAAAGTGTCATGACGCCATTTCTAACCTTAGGTCCCTGGGCGGGACCCGGAAAGAAATGTGTAAACGCCGGAAATCGAAGGAAATAATAATAATAATAAAGGAATAGAAGTGAATATGGTTACACTCATGCTCCTGTGATCTATCTGGGTACGTCGAGCCGATGTAATTGTTAGCAAGCTTGTCTCACTAGAACGATTACAACTGAGTAGTGAGTTCGATCCTCACTGGGTGCCGCATACATTCGGCCTTGTGCCACATCTAAGCTACACTTGGAAAATCACTACTAATACCCTCTATCTTTACAAGAGTCAGATCAGATCAAAGATGGAATATCGCTGCCATATCTGATCTGGAGCTGCACAATCTTGACAGAGTTCAGAAGTGATTACGTGACCTTCTGAGTGATTAATTATTTCCCCCACAAACAATCCTTTTCCCCCATAAACGCTGCTAGCCTCTTGCTAATCTATTTTTATGGCAAATATATATATATATATATATATATTCATTTACGTCTAGCGGCCTGAATATTCGAGAAATCTTATTAGAGAAAAAATATGCAGGTCAAAGGACGTTAGATCTGATGAGTCCGAGAAAATGTCTGTTTTGAAAATCAGAGAAAAATCTATGTTTAAAGGCACTATTTAACATTGCTTGTTCAGCGACGCACTCTGTAGCTGAGAGGTCAAAGCACGTCAGGTCTAATGACGATTTCCCCTAGGTGAAAGCAGGTGCAAATTCCATCAGAAAGTACACAATTTTTTTCTACTAAGAATATTCAGTTCTAAATTTCTGCTAAATAAAGAAATAAATATGTTCAAAAACTTATTTTTAATATAATGACGATGAACAGATCTTTGCTTTCTACATGTTTCCATAAGAAAAGCGGTTCCGTAACAAATGATTATGGGTAGGAATGTGAATTTAATTCAGTATTTTTTTTCTTGGGCTTCTAAAGACTTCATGTTTTCGAGCTACAAATTAAAATCTCGCTGTTTTAATACCATTTAAAATTCAATCAGAACAGGGATTATGTTTCTGTTTTTTTTTTTTCTTTTTTTTTTACTGAATTACATAAGCCAAAGAAAATATATTAACTTCTGCCAGATGTGAATATCGCCACCGACATTTTTTTTATAAAACAAAGATCCATCTATTGGCAGCAATGCTATAACAAAACCAATTACGCCACCTAACAGCATAAGATGCGCAGATGACTGATAGCAGATACGGAAAAGAAAATACAAAATCTCCTACAGAAGGTAGCGACGAGAGTGTTGAAGAAGGGACTAAGCATAAACTACAAGAAAACAGAAGAAATGGTAAACGGATGAGCCCAAAATGTGGGTCGGGGTCACTATAATCAAGCAGACGCCGAAGTTTAAATACCTGGGAAGCGTTCTGACAGAGGACGGTAAATGCGACACTGACGTATTAGGATGGCCAAGGACGCATTCCAAAAGCTAGGCAGAATATTGCGAAACAGGAGGATTTCTTTGGTAACGAAGAAAAGAACACTGAGCTGTTACGTGATATCTGTCCTTTTTTACGGCAGCGAATATTGGAGGATTTCTCCAAAGATGAAGAAGAGACTCGAAGCGACGGAGATGTGGTTCTACAGAAGGATACTAAGGATATGGACCGAGCTTGTGAGCAACGATGAGGCCTTAGAGAGGTTGCAAACAAGGAGGAGGCTTATACTTAACATCAGGAAGAGGCAGCTGAAGTTTCTGCGACACATAATGAGGAAGGAGGGCCTGGAGAATCTGATACTCACGGGTCGGAAAGAGATACAAGGGAAAACAACGCATGACATACATAGTGGACTTAAGCAAGTGGATGATAGAACGTGGTATGGGGGGAGGTGGCAGAGAGAAGGAACTTGTAGAGAGCTGCAAGGGATAGAAGGAGGCGGAGAGCCATGATCGCCTACGTCCTGAAAGAATATGGCACATAGAAAGAAAGAAAGAAAGAAAGAAAGAACACATAAGCAGAATAAGGCTAATGCTAATGGAAAGATGAACTGTTTCTAGGCAGGAAATATTAAGCATTCATTGACCAAATAGTTTTTGCTATTGTCGAGTGAAATTTATAGAGACATTAACCCCCTGAAACTCGGTTACTGTTATCGCTCTTTATAGTAATGGCGGCAATTTCTTTCTGGCCTTGTTTTGGGGAGTATGAAAAGTCAGTCTCCTGATTATATCATTACTTTCACTTCTCGTTATTTATGCTACTTATTTTCGTTGTTGTTACTGCTAGAAGTGTTCAAGTGATGTGGTTTTTGTTATTTGGTAAAGCTCTTCATTTGTGATTCTGTAGCGCCATTTTATAAGTTCTGAAAAAGGATCGTCTTCTTTAAGATTTATAGAATTTCTTTGTTTGAACCAATTTTAAATGTTGGTCTGAGAAAATGGTTGGTCTGATGAATTAGGATTTCGAAATGATTTGTCCGCTGTGCACGACTTCCAAATGAAACTCTAAATAAGACTATTTAAGGACATGATTCGATTTTCCAGGTCATTATTTTTGTATTGTAGCATCTGACGGTAATGAACAGAACTACCCCGAGGGTAAGTTATCCATTGTTCAAATTACTAAAAGTTGTTATAATTGATCCAGGCATCGAAATATTTAAATTATTTTTTTCAATTCAACATTCTAATCTTTTATGATGGCTTCATGGTGAATGCACTCACTATTCTCATTCCAATTCCAGACAACAATTTCTATTTTAGAAAATTTTATCTGAAGATGATCTTTGCAAATCTCCTTTGATATTGCGGACAACTTGAACAACTTGGTTATTTTCTGTTTTTCAGCATTTGCTAGAACTTATGTCCCAACATATATTATGGAAAAAAGAAAAAAAAAATTTATTAGATTTCAGTGGCATTTTGTGATGCCAACAAACACACGTTGTCACTTTTGCAATGTCAGTGAATACTCGTTGTCACTTTCGTAATTCTCGTTGAAGTAGAGACTTTGTAATCGCAGATACAACTATAGTAACGCCGTTGAACATTACTGGTGTCAAACGCCTTCGAATATCACTCGCACTTATACTACTTGCTCGATAATACTCCCTCGAATAGTAACCCGTATAGTGATCTGAATAGAGAAATAGTATAGTGAATAAAGTAGAGAATAGCGTCCGTATAGTAATAGAGGATAGACTAGAAATGGTGATCCGAATAGTAATAGAGGATAGAGAAGAAATAACGATTAATATAGACGACACGCTACCTTCCATATATATCTATGGTCACGTGGTCTACTTAATTCAATAATGGGATCGCTTGTGTTTGCTCACTGGCGATCTATGTTCATACTCAAGCGTCCGCAGCGATAGTTTATTCCCATATAACAAGGCCTTAAACTAATATTAGTTTAATCTGCATAATAACTTCAAAATGTGGTTCTTATAATAAAACCAATAACTTTAACAAAATATGTTACAACTACCTAAATATTTGACTTGATTTTTGTTTTGACTTGTAAATTAATCGTTTAAAATTTGACAACAAAATTCCAAAGCAAATTTGAGTTATCGAGGTTTATGCTACATACCTAATAACTTCAGACGGACTGGAGATATGACATTGTTGGTTAATGCTGTTACTCTAACAGATCCAAGAAGTCCAAGGAGCCAGAGCAGAGCACAGTAGAGGTTCTTTTTCCTGGATGTCCAAAAAGATTTCCATTGATGTTATCAAATGCATCAAAAGATAACGATTGACATTACATTCAAATTTTTGAAGATTATAGTGAGTTCTACTGGCGGGAAGTGCGAAAGAAGAAGCCGTTAGAGTAGAAGAGACGGTTACATTTAACTGTTTAGACAGGGTGGGACCAAGTTGCCAACCAAGTAGCACGCTTAAATTCATACCAATGAAACTAGCTGGTCAGAGCAGTAGCCATGAAAATATTTGTAG